GGCTTGTGTCCAGGTGTGGCAATTAATCTTCAAATATTTCTTAATCTTCCACTCTATGCAAACACACTGGATGCAAATCCTCTATGTGATGAAAAGAAATATTCAACAAAATCCCTTTAGGACATTGCAAATGAATATGGTAGATTAGGTTCACAAGCTGTACTAGTATAAGAGAAGATTCTTGACCCCTAGGCCTTAGAAGAAAAATACAAATATAAATCACAATGAGATATCCTTTTTTTTTTTTCATTTATCCGATTAGCAGATACCAAAGTTTGATAACACTGTCTTTGCAAGGCGTGGGGCAGCAGAATCTCACATACCTGGCCTGGCCTCCTGGGTGGGAGTGAAAATTGGTTCTACCCCCTTGGGGGGCATTTGGCAACATTTACTAAAGTAAAAGATGTACATGTCCTTTGGCCTAACAATTATTCTGCTGGAAATTCACAGAAAGTACGGACTGAACACGGGACAAATGATGTATGTTCAAGGAAATACATTGCAGCCTCCTATGTAAAAGCTAAATAATGGAAACAACCAAAATGTCCATTAGGGGAAGCTGTCAAAATAAGTGATGGCCATCCAGAATACGGCATTGTATTGCTGCAGCTGGAGGCAGCTGTGTTTATACTGACATGGAATATTGTGCGTGTGGTAGAGTGAAATGAAGAAGCAAGCTGCCAAACCGTGATCTGGATGCTACCCATTCAGCCGAGTGGAAAAAAAATACTAGGCTGAACCGTGTGAAAGTACCAATCAGTATTAGTCCATTTTTTACGTATAAATGCAATAATTTTATAAAATTCAATATGTATATATATATATATCCATCCTAAACTTTTAATTTTGAGATACCTGTACATTCTCATGCAGCTGTAAGAAATAATACAGAGAGAGCCCATGTACTCCTTACCTAGTTCCCATCATGGTAGCATGTCGCAAGGTTTAGGTCAATGTCACAGCCAGGATGGCGACACTGATACAGCCAAGGCATTTCCATCACCACCGGGGTCCCTCCTGTTGCCCTTTCAGAGCCAAACCCCTTTCCCACCCCTCACTCTGGCCCCGGCCCCTGGCAACCACTGATCTGTTCTCCATCTCCAGAGTTGGGTCATTCCAAGGCCGTTACATGAATGGAATCACATGGCACAGAACCTTTTGGGACTGGCTTGTTTTCATGCCTGTCCCTCTCCAGAGGTCCGTCCAGGCTGCTGAGTGTATCAACAGCTTGTTCCTTTTGATCGCCGAGTCCCACCCCGAACGGCACGTGCCCAGTTTAACCAGCCACCTGCTGAGGAGCATCTGGGTGGTTTCCAGCTCGAGCCTATAGTGAGTACAGCTGCTGCCAAGTTTCATGGGCAGGTTTTTGTGTGAATGTAAATTCATTTCTCCGGGATAAAGGACCAGGGATGCAATTGCTGGGTTATAGGGTAGGTGCATGTGTCGTTTTTTTTCAGAAACCGCCAAACTTGCTTTCCAGAGTGGCTGTAACATGTGACATTCCTACCAACATTGTACGGTACGCCAGCTTTCCCATGTGCTCACGGGCATTTGGTGGTGTCGCTATCTTATTTATTTGTTGTTGGCTATTCTGATGGGTGTGTGATAGCTCCTTGTGATGTGATTTTGCATCTCTGATAGTAATGATGTTGTACACCTTCTCATGAGCGTCTCTGTCCTCTGTACCCTCTTTGGGGAAACCTGTGTCTTTTGCCCATTTTCTAATTGGGATGCTCATATTGCTGTTGAGTTTTACTCCTGGCCTCCCCCCCCCCCCCCCCCCCGGCCCCTTCGTGTTGGATACTCCTTGGTCGGGTATGCGATGGGCGATATTTTCTACAGGTTGTCTTCTCATCCCCTTGATAGGGTCTTTCACGGCCCGAACGCCATGAGTGTTAATGATATAATTGACCACCTTTTCCTTCTCTGGGCTGTGCCTTTGCTGTGGAGGCTGAGAACTCTGTGCTGAGCCCTAGACCCCGAGGATTTTCCTACTTTTGTTTCTGGAGGTTTGACCACTTACATTATTTCCCGACATGCTCTCCAGAGCATCCAAAGACAGCGGCAGAGTCGGCAATAGGAGATACTGAGGGGAGCACGTTTGGCCAAGTCTGGTCACTGGTGAAGGTAGAAATCACGTCCATTCACATCACAGAGGGTGAGGCAGCACCCGCAAGGTCGAGAACAAATGATTCCTGAAGGTGTCCACGCCTCAATTCTTCTTCCTCGTTGGCCTTGCACAGCCAGTGACTTCCCTTCAGGAAAATAATTCCGACTTCCTCGCCAAGTCCTTTCAACTCACTCAATGACAATTGTGAATAATAATAATTCAGAATAGGAGCTGAATAATATTAATATAGTTACTGATAATAAATAATTATGGACCTTCGTCCAACGTGTCCCAGGTATCACACCAAGCACTTCACATTCATCCTCACTGAGGCTCGAACAAACCCCAGGAGGATATGCTGAGCCCTGTCCTCCACCACATCTTGCTGAACTGGCAGGACACCTAAATGTCCAGCTCTTTCTTAAGCCTCAACTCGGGATGGCAGCGTCCCTGTAGAAAGCGGTTGCCAGCATTAGCTTTAGAAGCTCACAGCACAGAGAGTCTAAGCTGGACACCGAGGATCCTATGAGGCCAGAGAAAGAAACTGTATTTGACAGTGACCATCTGTTCCTTCCAAGGTCTCCCTAGGGGGTGCCCCACCCACAGGCGACCTCAGTCAGTCTTCACACGGTCCCATAGGGTGCAGCGGAGGCTGCCCAACCTCTGAAAGGGAAGCCACTTTCCCGAGGGGCCAGCGCTGGTGGGAAAAGGCAGGGAACGAGCTCTATTGGATCCTGAGCCCTCCTCTTCCCACCAGGTCACATCTAAACCCACGGAGAAGGAACACGACAGGTTCTAAAAGCTCCGCATTTAAAACCCCCAGCACAGGGCTCCCATTTAGTTGGCTGCTCTATCACATGCACGGCTTTCGAGCTGAGGGATGAAGGTCCCTGTGCACATGGAGAGGGGTGCGGCTGTAGCGTTAATGGTGAGAGAGAAAGACTGGAAACCAACTACATGTCCATCAACAGGGAACTAGACAGTGAAGCTGTGGGATAGACCCAGACTATTACGCTAAGTGAATAAGTCAGTCAGAAAAAGAGAAATACCATATAATTTCACTCATCTGTGGAATCTAAAGAACAACATAAACAAAACAGAAACCGATTAATAAACACAGAGGACAGACTGGTGGTTGGTTGCCAGAGGAGAGGGTGTTGGGGGGCTGGGTGAAAAAGGTGAAGGGACTGAGAAGCACAAATCGGTATTTATAAAACAGTCACGGGAATGTAAAGCACACACAGGAAAGAGAGTCAGTAATGTTGTAATAACTACATATGCTGCCAGGCGGGTACTGGAAATATTGGGGGGGGGGCACTTTATAAAGTATATGAATGTCTAACTGCTGTACACCTGAAACTAAACAAAGTAATATTGAATGCAAGCTCCAATTGAGAAAAAGAAACAAAAAATGTAATACAAATATCCAAGATCAAATAGTCATCGCCCACCCCCCACACCCCAGTTTTGTTTTGTTTGAGTTCTTTAAGTTCAGCAAAATCGTCTGGTTAATAACATTAAAGAAATGCCTGTTTGTAATGGAGCTGTGGGCCAAGAAACCAACTCTGACCCTACGAAAGCAGCGTCTTGGGTCTGTGTGGCCTGCCTGGGTGTCGGAAACAGAAATGTCTTTCAGGCCCTGGCCGGGCAGCTCTGTTGGTTAGAGTGTCATCCTGATACACCATCGGGGGTTCAATCCCAGTCAAGGCACTACAAGAATCGACCATGAGTGTGTAGACAAGTGGAACAACAAATTGATGTTTCTCTCTCTTTTCCTCTCTCTCTAAAATCAATTTTTAAAAGAAAGGAAGGGAGAGAGGGGGAGGAAGGGGGGGAGGGAGGGAAGGAAAGAAGGAAGGAAGGAAGGAAGGAAGGAAGGAAGGAAGGAAGGAAGGGTCTTTCAACCCTCAGGTTTCCCCAGCGGCTCACTGGCGGAGCGTCCACACGGGCAGAATTTCGTGCGGGCAGCTGCAGAGTGCAGGGCTTTGCTCCGAGAGCACACGCACACGCACACACTCACACACACACACACACACACACGCACACGCACACGCTTTAGGAAAGCACTTCCAGGTGCTCCTCCTGCGCCCACGTCACAGGAGCCGAGCGCACGCATCCCATGTGCCCAGGGAGCCGCTGCTGATGGAGACACAGTTCACGTACAATCTCTTTAACTGATAAACTGAGAAGGGCCTTTCCACCGAGAGCCCATGAGCGACCCAGCGGCCACACTGCAAACAGCTACTAATTGAAACATCTGGCCAGGCGGGTGCATGCGGGGCTGGGCTCCCCTGGACATGGGGGAAGGCGCCTACAAAGGGTAAAACTGACATGCGCAGAGTCTGTTGGGGTTTCACAGCCTCGGCACTTTTGACATTGGGGGCCCGACTGCTTCTTTGTTGAGGGGGTTTGTGCACCGTAGGGTGTCCTGCGGCATCCGGGGCTCTCCTCGCTAGAAGCAGAGCAACCCCCCCCCCACACACACACACACACACACCAGTTGTGACTTCCCACATTCCGTATGTCCCCTGGGGGGCAAAATCACTCAGAGATGAGAATCATCAGATGAAGTTGATAAAACATGTCCTCTGCTTCTTACACATGAGCTTAGAAACCTCATTTGCCTAAAACTTAAGTCACCATGTTCCTAAATTTTCTATCATGTGATTCAAAAAATATAAAAGTATCCGAAGCAATCAAGGACCATGGGTGTGTAAATAAAACATGAATCTTGTCGAACGCTTTTCTCCCTTCTTTCTATGTATGTCGATCACTGTTTGAAATTCCGACATGTCTGGAACACACACCAGCACAGATTAATAAATTATGCATGGGTTTGGGGTGGTGGGTTTGTTGGGTTTTTTTTGCTAAAATTAAACAAAATTTAAAGGGAGAAAAAGCTATTTACCATTTATGTACCAGGAGATCTGCACAAAAGAGAAGCATTAGAATGAAAAGCCCTCATTTTGACACCAGAATTCATGTTTGCACACAAATTAAAACGACGCCCAAAGCATAAGTGCACAAGCTTTATTGGGCAACAGCAACAGGCCACGCCGGCAGACAATGAAAGCAGGACCGCTCGGAGACACGCGGGATCACACGTGTGTCATCAAAGGATCGAGAATTTAAAGCATCTGGGAGTTCCTGCCAAATTAAAACGCACTGCACCCGCTCCCTCTCATCAAAACCGTGGCCCGTGAGCACCACCAGGAGGATTACAGAGCACTGATGAGGCCCTCGCGGGACCCTCCATGCGGTTACCGCCAGCCCGGCGCAAGGAAGTCAGAAATGAGCCACGAGTTCTTCTTCTTGCAAACACCACATTCAGTGACACCGTCTGGTGACACGAACAGACCGCACCTCCCCCCCTCCCCCCCCCCCTCCCCGCGCTGGGACGGAGACGCCGTTTCCCAGGTGATGCTGCTGTGGCGTCAGGTGCTACGGACTCGCTCTGTGCTGTGCTTTCAGTCCCTTCCAAAAGCACAGCGAGCATCCTTCCAGGATGAAATGGACACAATTAAAGGAACCGTTTCCTAACAAGTATATAGAAATGACCGAAAGCTTTACATTGAAAGGGGGGTGAAATAAAATCTGTTGTATTTACAAAGCTCATTGTGATTGTTTCTTTTAATGACTACAAAGCTGGGCATGATGGGATGTTGACCCAAACCAAATCTCTCTTCAAAAACCTGGAGATAACATCATACATCCCCCCACACACACATTTCAAACACACACACACACACACACAGAGATTAAAAATAGCTGATGGGTGTTTGCCTCACGCAGGGTGGACTGGGAGAATGCATAGGTCCCGTTTGAAATTTTGGCAAAGGTTTAAAATGCTGCCCCAGAAAAGGCATGAGGGCACTGCCATCCCCATCCCCAGTTAAAAAAAAAAATATGAAAACAGAAGTCTGGAGGAAGGAAAGCAGGCGTCATGATGTCCATTTCCAATGAGCACAGAACGCAGAGTACATTCCAAAGTTGTCAGAATAACCTACGTTTTCAGCAGAGAAGCTGGGGGACGGGAAAGCAGATGGTGGCATTTACGATGACGGCGACAAAAAAGAGGTGCGCTTCAGGGAAGCGAGTCTGGGATCTGGATATAATAATGCCAACAACGGGCGTTGGAAACCCCAGCTCCTGGCCTCCCAGCTCCAGGTGGCAAGTCCTTTGCCCCAAGCAGCCCGAGTCAGTGCGGCCAGCCTCACCCAGAGCCTCACCGACCACCACAGGCTCCACACACACGTGCATGCAGGCTCCCCAAGGTAGTCACCCTGCCAGGCAGGAGAAACCACCCAATGGCTCGCCTGGCCATTTTCTTAGAGAAAGTTTTTTTTGGGGGGGGGGGGGGGGGGGGGGGGGGGCAAATAGAAACCATTCTTACCGCCCCCTCCCCCCCCACACACACACACCGTCAACAAAAGATGTAAAAAGAATAATCATAAATAACAAAAGTGCTTACTCTGGCACAAATACCTAGTGCTGTCCGAGGGCGGAGGGAATGGTCGTTTTTACTAGAAGGAAGTGTTTAACCTGCTGATTGTGGCCACGGGGCCTCTGGCCTCAGACTCAATTGGCTGTTGGGCCTGAAGATCTTTCCAGGTGGATGAGCCCAGCAAACAGTCAACAGAAGCCTTATGGTCAAGGTTATGAACTTGGGAGTTTCCCTCAAAACAGCTCCGGTGTTTTGTTTCTTGGTTCCCCCCAACCACGAAGATGCCCCCGGAAGCGCCCAGTGGGCACCAGTTCTCTGCTGGGATTAGTCTGGTGTGTGCAGGTAGGGATCCCCATTCCTAGGCGCCCCCGGACCCCAGCAGGGGCGTGAGCAGGCTGCCCACCCTCGGGTGGCTTACACCGTGGTGGTCTCTACAGGGTTTCATCCCTCTTGCCCGACTGCCTCCACAGAGTGTGCCCGAGGACAGTGGGCAGGACGTGTCTGGTGGCCCTGACACACATCTGTCGCCCCTCAGGGATGGCTTCGCTAGCCCCCTTAGAAGCGTTCTCCCTTCGAGAGGCCAGGCAGTATCTTAAAGGTCAACTCACGCACCTTGCCCAAAACGGGACTTCAGGAGAAGGCCGCAGAAACCATCTCTGTTCCGTGTCTGCTGCAAACACCCGAACGTTCCCAACAAGGAATCCACAGGCCCTCCCTGCAGGAGCCCTCACCGGTCTGTGAGCAAGGCCCGGTCCCGGGTTTGCAAGCGCAGAGTGGAATTACTAAGACTCCCGTCTGACGTCCAACACGGCAGCCAGGTGCAGGCACTCAGAGCACAGCCTCCTCCTCCTCCTCCACCTTCGAAACTGCGTAAAATAGCGCAGTGGGCTCAGACCTGCTCGACTTTTCCGAGAGTTCTAGGCAAAACCCTGTTCTGAAATAGCCATTCCTTCACTGCATTACTGGGGGGACGGGGGGGGGAGGGAGTAGGTTTACAGTTATGAGTATGCAAAACAGTTTATCCTTATATCATCAGTTATTAATGATTGCATTATTTTTCCATATGAACAACTGTAAGCCTACTTTTGCCCCACCCTATATATGCTCTCTGTAGATCTCAGTGGGAGGCGGAAATGGCTGGAACAGAGAGGGGCAAATACTGTAAAATTGCAGAATCTTAAGACAGAAGTGCTGTCAATAGCTAATTTCCGAGGGCCTGCAACTTGATGTCACTTTATAAAGATGTAAAAAGGCAACATGAACACGTGAGCACAGGAAGGGTGCTGCCAAGGCGAGGCACGCGGGCTCCTCGTGTCCCCGGAGCAGGGGCCCCTCGGGCAGTGGGGTCAGCACCCGGGCCGAGCCTACGTCTCTGAAGCACACACAGAAGCGCCGTGCCCACGGGTTGCAGGGCATGTACTCACACAGGATTAACCACCAATCTGAGGCCTCAAACACAGTCGCCTCCTGAAGACCCGCCAATGGAACCCTCAGGGCCTTCACACGTGGCCGCTGCAAGAGTGACCGGCCCGGGCACCCTGCCCTGCCACGTGCAGTGCTCGGAAATTCCCTTCCTGGCCTGGAACGAGAGGCCACGGCTTTGTAAGAAACACCACGCCTGTGCCGCAGCCCGGTGGGCGGCGTCTCGGCCCCTGGCTGCCCTTCGGAAGCGCCCCCCCATCCCCCGTGAAGGCTGCAGGCCGTGGAGCAGAGCCCAGCCCCATGCCCAGGCCACAGCCGGGCCTCCTCCCACGGGGCTCCCTGCTCGAAGCTGCCACCGTGCGTGGCAATGTGGTAAGAAGCCGCCGCCTCTGTCCTTCCATCCTCCATCATTCCTCCCAACAGGAAACAGACCTCATTGTGGGTGAAGGGCCCAGGCCTGACCTCCCCGCTCTGGACCAGGGTCTGAGCCGAGTGAGCGCCATTGTCTAAAGAATTAGTTGTACCTCTTTTCACCCTGTTGACATATTAAGGGGCTGTTTGGTGGCACATTTCCTGCGAAAACAACTCCCAGAGGATGTCGCGGGTGTCCCAGATGGCCACGGGCTTCATGATTGTTCCCAGGTCCGGACGAAGCAGAGTGGCACCTTTGACATTCCTTTGCGAGGTGGCGGGGACGTGACTCCAGTGTGGGTGCGGAGTGAGATGCGGGAAACCTGGATTTGCAGCTCATTCTCCCTCGCCTCTCATTTGCCTTCCTGTGATCCTAGGAAGCCCGGCTTCAATAGCGGGGCTGCGTAGAGAGGACACCTGGCGTTTCCAAATTGAGGTTGGTGTTCGGATAACTTTTAACCAAATGCACCGTCTTTCCCCCCAAACCTCCACCAAGAGCTTTACGTTTCTCTAAAACCAGTTTTTAGGAGCAGGAAAGACATAAAGAGTGCACACACGTTAGGATTGTTGAAAAAAAACAAACCAACCAAAAGTCCTCTACAATCTCCAACTAGACAGAAACTTTATCACATGACAACAAAATTCAAGTCATAAGGAAGCTTGCACAGTGACCCGCGTATAAATCTCTTGGCTGAGCCACCCACGGGGACACATTCACATTCACTCCAGGCGGAACCACCGGGGTTCACACGGGCCGCGGGCTCCTTGGGCCTCCCTCCCGTGTACTCGGGCAGGACTCCACACAGAGCCTCTTCTCATCCACACCGCACGTGCAGCCCCTCCTGCAGAGCCCTCAGGCGGTCAGGACGAACGGGACTGAACTCTGTCCGGCAGGAGAGCAGGGACCAGACTCCCGCCACCGCGCACAGAGCCTACGAGGTGAGCTTGGAGTAGCTGGGCGGGGAGAACCGTCTGCGCAGGTACTTGAGGATGTAGAGGGGCAGGCAGCTGACCAGGGTGATAACAGAGACTTTCCACAGGAAGGACAGGGTGGCGATGAAGTACACATCTGCAAGCAAACGGGAAGACAGCGTGAGTGGGCGGGAATGTTCCAGAAGACGCGTGCGGTCCAGAAAGGGCCACCACAGCTATTGCCCGTCACACACACACACGGCCTCCTGGCGTGCTCCTTCCCTCCACTCCATCTTTCAGGGGCAGACGTGCCAGCAGCTAGTAGCCCATAAGGCTGTCAGCCCGACCTGCCTCGCGCTCCCCTCTCTCTGACCTGCTTCTGTATCCCTGGTCCTCGGTGAACTGCTCTTTCAACAACTAGGAAATGGAAACTGCAGACGAAAACCAATTCTTACAGGTGTTTTTGATTTGGGCTCTGAAAGTTGGAGTTTTTTAAACACGGCCGCCGGAGAGCAGAAAGTGACCCTCAAACACACGTGCCTGCTTCCCCACCGATTTCCCCTTCGTCTGAGTGATGGTCACAGGAAGCCAGGGAACGGGTCTGGGGGTGTCGCAAGGCAGCTGGGGCCCCTGGTCGGAAACAGAGTAAGCTTGGGGCTTTGATCTAAGGACAGGCACACCCTTAGGTGCTAGGGGAGCGACAGCTGGTGGCTTCAACAGTGCACGGAATGGAGGGCACAGTAAACATGCCCCCACTGCCCGAGCACAGGATGGGGAAAACAGAGCTGGCGTTGATTAAGCACCTACTACGTGCCAGCCCTAAGGTCCACTGTATGCTGCTCACCCAGTCCTATGGTAGGTGCACATTTAAGGGGACCGACCATAGCTTTTCTAAGCCCCTGGGAGCAGCCACATCCCCCAGTCTCAAGCCATTGAGCGCATAGTAGGTGCTGACAAAACCCATTTGAACTTTTGGGGACAAGTGTGAAATCGTTCTAAGACTTTTCACACGGATGCTCCTTTATCTTTACCAAGACCTTTGTAAGGAGTGTTTGCTGAGGCACAGAGACGTGATCAGAGGCGCTGTCCTGGTCATTCAGTTTCCCAAGGGAATAATGCTAAGTCCTGCCCACTGTCGTTCATTCACCAACAAGACCTGGCCACTCGGCATCTCCATACGACACAGAGCCCAGCACAGCAGTCGCTCCCTGGGAAACCCACCGGGCCCTTGCTGAATGACACAGAATCCTCTCCGGAGCCCGCCAGCACATCCAGTTCCAAAAGGAAGCTCTCTCTGCTGAGACCCTGCCCAAGCGCCCGGCCCGATGGCTGACGCACACCACCACTCGTCCCACGGGACACCCGTCAGTGGGGCAGTCGAGGGCCAAGGCCTGCTGGACACGGAGCCCAGGACCCCAGTGCCGGGGGCTGCCTTCCTTCTCAAGCTGGGAGACCTCTGGAGGCGACAGCCAGGCTGTCCATGCAGGGGGGCGGGGGCGGGGTCTCACCGATGAATTCGTGTAGGAACACCAGGGAGGCGATGTAGCAGGCCAGGCTGAGCAGCTCGGCCACCGTCATGAGCCAGTGCCAGGTCTGGATGGTCAGGGCCACCATCAGCAGCTCCGTGAGGATCAGCGACGTGAAGGAAATGGCCACAATGTGCACGAACTCCGACTCGAAGAGCAGCAGCGCCCCGTACATGATGGTGCTCCCTGGAGAGAGGACAGTGCGGGTGGGGAGGGCCGATGCGCCCCTGGCAGCGTTCTCACCGGGAGCACAAAC